TTCTGGAATCTGTGCAGTGTTTTTACTTAGAATCGTGTTGTTTGCTGTACGAATTGATTAAACAAGTGAGGACGAGATGTCGTGGTTCAGAACTGCAGTGAGCAAGGCGGTGGAGGCGGGGAACAAGAACAACTTCACGCGCAACATCAAGAGTGCTGCCGACACCTTCGTTCACCATGCCGGCCAGGCCGTAGCTGAAGGAGCCAAAATATTGCAAGATCACATTGTAACGCGTCTCTTCTTCCTCAAATTTTCTCTTAATTAATCTCCAATTGTTCTCTGAATCTATTTCTCCGATTTTTCATTGCTGTTTAAGGTTTTCGAGTTAAGCGTTGTCTTAATTAAGTCAACTAAACTGCTTCCATGTTACAATTTTAGCATAGTCTCCATTTTTATTTGTTTGGTTTCCTTAAATTGCATGAATATGCAGGTAGCTAGGAATGTCAGAAGTGTAAAGCAAACGATTAGAAGACTGGAGGAAGCAGCCGTGTCTTGTAGAGGTTCTGAGAGAGTTCTGTTGCTGGGAAGATGGTTGGCTGCACTTAAAGAAGTTGAAAAGTTTTATGAAGGTTCATCTGAGGATAAACAAATGAATCTGGAAGAAATTATTGAATCTGAAGAAGCAAAAGAGAACCCAACAAGACCTGTTTTGGTAAGCTATCCCTGTTTAATGTCCCATGGATTCAATTTTTATTTCTTAGTTTGTTTCTCATGCCTCATTTGCTTAATTCAGTTGTGAATCATATACACAAACTCTGGTCTAATCTGTGCGCAATAGGAAGATAACAGAGGTTGATTTTGCCTAGTGTACCTGTTCTTTGTGTAGTCTTCTGTTTTTATTGAAGCAATATGGTGCAAAGGAATCAGATAGAGAATTGTTATGTGCCATATCGTAATCTGATACTCTTGAGTTTGCTTTGTGCTGAAATGAACTTGAATTGTACTGCCACATTTAAAAAAAAAAAAAAAAATTGTCTTATCTCTGACAATTTATTTTAATCTTTTAATGATGGTTTAGGTGTTGTATTACGATGAGGATGTTGGGGGTTTGCCAATGAGTTTCCGTGAGGTTTTTCTTCAAAGCCAAGCCTTGGAGGCCATAACAATATCCATGGTATGTTTCACCTTTTTGTATTATTTCTTTAAACTTACTTAGGTATAACTTCTTACTTTACTTATATGTAGTTAAAGATGCTTTGAAATCCACTTCTGAAAAGTTATTTGTGCATGTCTAATTTTCCGAAAATTTTTGCAATTTATCTAAAAATTATTTTGTGTTTTTGTCATTATTTGCTAATTGTTACCCATAAAATATAATAGAAATTACATTTCATTTCATGAGAAGCTTGGTCCTAAATGAACTTTTGGGTTTTAGAATTTCTGGTGACCAAGGTTAAGCATGTTAAAACTTGAATCTTTTCTGTGCCTCAGATTCTTGAAGCACCAAATGATGAAGAAATTAATCTGCTTCTGGAGATGTTCCGGTGAGTCATCCTGCAGGACTATCCCTATTATAGTTTGAATGTCCCAACATTTAGGTGTTTTCCAGATGAAATTAAATGGAAAATGGTTTTTCTCTTGTTGACAGCTTAGTTTTTTTCTTTTCTTTTCTTTTTTTTCTTTTTCTTTAATTGATCACACCCAACATGATGGTTGAATGGTTTAATATTGTGCATCTTCTTGGGCAAAGTGAATGAAACAAGTTGCAAGTATTTTATAATTGGCCTCATATTTTAATTGAATTTGGAATTTTCTATGCATGATATAATCATGTGCAGGCTTTGCCTTAGTGGAGGGATGGAAGTTCACAATGCTATAGTGAGCAGCATACAGGATCTTGCTACAGTTTTTTCCAGCTACCAAGATGAAGTGTTGGTAAGAATGCAAAATATAATGCTTAGACTTAGACCAGCTTCACACCTGCACTGCTTGTCTGCTCCTCAACTCAATCAACATTTTGATTCTGATTATTTTTCTTAAAAAATGTGGTTAAATAGGTGAAGCGTGAAGAACTGCTTCAATTTGCACAAAGTGCTATAACAGGGTTGAAAATCAATGCGGATATTATAAGGTTGTAAGATCAGGAGCTTTCATTTTTAATTTTTCTGTCTTATCATTTTACTTGCTCGCACTTATATGTGCAACTTGTGTTTAAAGCACTATAGTCCATGCTTGTGAATGTGCCAAACTCCTTCTGTGGTTCTGCATGCTGTTGGAATTTCTTCTATAGATATACAGTGTTTTCTTTTGGGAGAAAAGTTGATCTCAAACTTCTATTTCCTCAGTAAAAACTGAATCGCTGGAAATCTGCATTGTTGCCCTTTTCTTTTTATTGTTTCTTTAGGAAATTTAATAAATAATAATCTTGGAATTTTGTTTGCGGAAACTTATTCCTTTGTTGATAAATGTTCATTGTTAATTTAAGAAGTTGACTTGTTAGATGTGAATTCAGATCCTTAGACCAATCAAACAATAGAAATTTTCATGACATTAATATTGGAAGATTTTCACCTTTTAAGAAAGTAGGAGCATGTTGCTGTCTTCTGCCGTGGATATTTACTTATACTATGCCTAATTGTGAGAAAAATTAACCTTTTTTTCTTTTTCCTTTTTTCTTTTTTCTTTTTGGTCTATATGCTTTCTGGTGATAGAATGGATGTTGAAGCATCTAATTTAAAGAAAAAACTTGATGGAATTGGTAGCCTCCAGAAATTGCCAAATGAAGGCCAAGAGAATGCACCTGAGAGTACTCTGACTGTTGAGGTAAGCTTGGTTTGATGTATGGTAACATTTATTGACCTATTCTCTCCTGCATTCCCTCCCTCTCCTAGCTATGTCCACATTTATAATGAGAACCGTGTTTTAACTTTTAACTAAATTGATAAATATCTGATGTACTTTTACCGCCCAAGTTGTAGAGATGCAAATGTTGAAATTAAGGATGCAAATGTTGATATCTGCATTGTTTAGAAACTATAAAACTTGACCACCATATCTTTATGGCAGGCTCTGAAAGAAGCTCTTGCACAAATTCGGATTTGTTCCAGATTGGAAGGCATTTTACTGAAAAAGAAACTTCTAAACAATGGAGACTCTCCAGAGGTTCATGCCCAGAAGGTACCTTCAATTTTATTTGTTCTCTGGTTGTGTTTTAGGAAGTACTTGGTCTATGCTTTGTTACTCTTGTAATGGTAAATTTTGCCTTCTGTTAATGTTTATGTCCAAGTATTTGGTCTTGACTGCTTCATGTATGACTTGCCAGCTTTTTCTCTAGCTAAGTATGGACTGCCCATTTTGGCAAATGTTGCTTAGTTCCTTAGGCCTTTTTTGTGATCAACTGTTGAACTGCACTATTTTGTTTGTATGAGTAGGTTGATAAGTTGAAGGTCTTATCAGAATCTCTGGCTAACTCCAGTTCAAAATCTGAGAAACGCGTTTCAGAACAGAGGTACAAAGTCAATTTAAGAAATTTTTAAGGTTATGTTTTTACACACACACACACACATGGAGCTGCAACATTGGCAATCTTTTTGAGTAATTACTGCAAAAATCAGCAGCCTGAGTAATTTCTAGCTAATACCAAAGTCTGTCACAAACCTTTCCCTGGAGCACCGAGCACCCTTCATATTGTTGGAAGTTTGCTATGCTACTGTGAAATGACCTGGAAGATGTATGAATCAACCAATTGACCCTTTATATATCAGCATCAATAGTGATATTTGATATTTGAGTTTGCCATCAATAGTGGTCTTTCTTTTGTTCAACAATCAACAATTCACTTAACTTGCCCTAAAATTGTAACATTTAAATTTCTTAGAAGTATAATATTGACCTTTAGCTGCTTTGTGACTGGTCTTCCGTAATGATTTAGACTTCAAAAAGAGGAGGCATTAAAAGTTCGTATGACAAAAGCAACTGAAGCTGATGAAAGAGAAAAGGTAATATGCTTTGTCACTGATGTTTTTGTCCATGCCATAGCTACTAAATTATAAGAAAGGATTATGAAATTGTAATTTTAGATTAGAATGCAAAATTTTGGCGGCTGCAAGTTCTTTCTGGATTATAGGCTTAGTATTTGTTTGTTAAATATCTTAGAAGCCAAACATTGTCCTGTGGAAGTTGTAAATGGTTAGTGATTAGCTATCTTCTTGGATTGTATTCATCTTGCAGTTTAACCTTGGATCTCTATCCGGTAAAGGGCAAGTGCCAATTGCCTTGTTGTAGTCAGTATGTAAATTTATCACTTGCATGTTTTGGCAGGCAATTTAATTTAGTTTCAAATGATTGATCTCCAGGAAATAGCCGCAGAAATTTCAGAGCTTGAAAAGCAGAGGGATGAACTTGAAGCTGAACTGAAAAAGGTTTTCTACTTCATCTTCATGGTTGTCATTTTTAGTAATTTATGATAAACTATATATGCTTCTTTAACACGTGTACCATATTTGATTCCTATGGTCCAAATTTTTAGTTTTATTATTTTACTTTTGTTTTGTAACATTTGAGATTTTATCTGTTTGCATAGTGTGTTTGCTGGTTTATTTGAGGAGAAAATAGTTTGTCGAAGCAATTTTTTGGGATAAGTTTCAAAGATCATGGAAAAGATGCTGGAACTGATGGTCATATTATATCAGTGCTATACGTACATTTGATTAGGAAGAAGTTTTCCAACAATGAAGTAGCAAAATTTCTTATGGAATCATCAATCATGTACATTATGTTGCATGGAAAGTCTTTATTTGTTATATCGTTTTAAGGTTTTAATTTTTTTTTTCAGTGGTCTCAAAATTTCTCAAAAATTCCAATTTGCATTTAAATACCTTTTTCTCTTTTTTTTTTTTGTAATTTTTCTCTCAGTATACAAAACTACGTCCTGAACATGTTCGAAGTCCTGTCAAAATGGATGGATTGCTAAACTTCTTTTTATGGCTTCTGAGCCTTATTTATGTTGTTTTACTTTTACCAAGTTTTAAGTATGGCTAATTTATGTAGGTTAATATCTCACTAGCTGCTGCTAATGCTCGTTTGCGAAATGCAAGGGAAGAAAGAGATCAGTTTGACGAAGCTAACAATCAGATTGTTGCCCACTTAAAAACAAAGGTCTGGACATTTCTTCTGAAATTTCTGATAATTCAAATAAAGCTATGATGTTCAGAGATTCTGCAATCATGATCATTTTCTGGCTTTACCATCTCCTAATATCTCTTATGATATGTTGATAGGAAGATGAACTATCAAAATCTATCATTGCATCTAGGGCAGAAGCGGAGGTTCTTAGTACTTGGATTAATTTTTTGGAAGATACTTGGGTACTTCAGTGCTCATATGCAGAAACTAGGAACAAGCAAGTCAGGTATGTAATTCAACTTTCTGCATTCAGTATTACCAATTTTCCATTAGTTTTC